CCTGGAGACTCTTTCCCTATCAAATTCTCTCCTCCAAAAACTGCTCTTGAATTATTGGGAAAAAAATGCTGGGAAGCATTAGATCATGCCTTGGTTTTTCCACCAGTTTTCTCATGATGCTGTTAATGCTAGAAAAGAAAATATGAGGCAGAGAAGACCATCTCAATCATCTCAGACCTCCTTCCAGTCCTTCCCTCTTACCAACCATTCTTGTCCCTTTGCCTGTCCGCACTGATCTGTGTGGGCCCAGTGTTTCACATATCATTGCAGAAGCCTTTTTCTATTCTTCAAATATAATTTTTTTGGCTTGGCAAGATACTCACTAACGACAGCTCAAATTGGATGCAGGAGCCTCTCATCCCACTTTGGTGTTCTGTCAGCCTCTGTTTTGTCTGACACGTAATAGAGCATGCACTGACTGCTCATTTCCTTCTGCATGCCAGCACTAGCAGAGCTTTCTTTTCCCTCCCTTCCTTGAGATTAGGTCCATCTGAGGGGCAATGGAAGGGGTACCCAGCTCTCTCCTGGCAGTGCTGCTTCCTCTGAGCGCTCATAGATCTGCAGAGAATCCTCTTACAGGAGGGGCTGAATTCAGGGGCTTGAGAGGAAAGACAAGGTGATAAAAGAGATCACACCCTGAAACTCTCCTCTACACCCTGGAATTCTCCTCCCTGGAGACAAGACCATTTTTTTACCATGAGCTGTGAAGAGGGCATGTGGTCCATTCTGAGTTGTATGCTGTTCTGCACAGCAGGGACTGGAAGAGATCAGAGACTTGCTTCAGCCTGGCAGAACCATGCAAAATTCATCCTCATCCTCTGACTTTTCCCAACTCCCAGCAGGGTGGACCTTGCCTGGGTGGGCATTTCTAGAGAACATAATGGTGCTGGTACATCACTTCAGCAAGAATTCTATTCCTCAGGCTCCACCTGAAATCCCCAAGTAGAGAGTAGGTGGTGCAAGTTTTCTTGTGCATTTGCCAAGCCCCTGTGGAAATGCTCCCCCACTCTGCTCCGTTCAGGTTGGCCTCATGTCGTGGTTTTGTGGTTTGTTATCAGTATTCCGCATCATAGCATCATGTAGCCTGCTGGGAGCTAAAGATTCAATGCTGCAGTTCTGTTCTCAGAAGAGAAGAGCAAACTGCAGCTCCCAGAAGGCTTTATTATTCTTTTTCCATTTTTCATTCAGAGGGAAAGACAAAACTGATTGGGAGTCACAAGATTGTTCTGCTTTTGCCCACCTTGGCTCTCTGTGCTCCCTGGCTGTCTCACCTACAACATTAGAGTAAGGCCCTTGCTCTCAGACACCCTCTTTCATTTATGTGATTTATTATCTTCGATTCCAATGACACTGGATTATATTGCATTATCTCACAATTCATTATCTTTTTTAGCAAGTTAGTTTTTTCCTTAGGTTGTGACCACTGCTTTTTCTTATCTAGGCCCATTTCCCTACCACCCCCTGCCCCCTTCCCCTTTTCCCAGGGCATGGGACCATGGCTCATCTTGTCCCTCTGTCACTGGACTAGGCCAGACCAGGCCAAACCACGGCATTTTTTGGGTGCATTGGAGGGGAAATAAAACCAAACTTTTTAACCAACCACACACAAGAGATTTATTAGAGTGCCATATGGAGAACCACAGCTCTTCATTGGAGAGCTCTGATGCCCTAACCTTCACAGAAAGATGAGACTGTAGGCAGAGTGGTCTGCCAAGTTTGGGCACTGCACCAAATTTTATTATTATTATTATCATTATTATTATTATTATTATGGGCACCATGACAAGTATGAAACTGTTCTTTAGTTTAGAAGGGTTGCATGAGGGATTAAATGCCATTATGGTCAGAATTATAATTCTTAGAATGTACTGGTTTCTTATTAAGTCTGCCGTTCTCTGTTCTGCAGTTATATATATACATAAAACAAACGAGAAGCACTGGTGGAGACACCCATCTGTACCTGTATGCAATGTGAATAGTTTGAGCACTAAAAGTAACATCCCAGAAGAAGTACTAATTTTATAGACCACACAGTGTTTAAACAGGCTTCTAGATTCTCCTCTTGGTTTCCCACATGTTTTTGAAATGCTCCATCTAGAACATTCATGCTGATTATGTTATCAATCTCCCTGAATGTATTCCTCCCCATTTACATTATCTGGAGGAAGCTTTCCCCAAACCCAGAGAATACTGAGTGGCAGGGAATGTGGAGGGGTTCAGGAAAAATCTGACAGAGATGGGGACTTGCAGTGTCATGAAATTGCACCCTTGAACACCTGCAGAACCCCAAGAACCTCAGAAAATATTTAAGTCAGTGATGTTATGGCTTAGGTAGATCTGACGAGGCCAGAGTCCCGCTAGCCGCGCACAGGCGCCCAGCACTCGCAGCCCACAGCAAGTCCGAGCGCCGCCGGCGCAGGGCTCAGCCCCGGGGCGGAGCTGGCGGCGGCGGCGGGGAGGAGGCGGCGCGGGCGGAGCAGAGCCGGGGTTGGCGGGGGCAGCGCGGCGCGAGCGGCGGAGCGGCGGGATGCGGCAGTGCAGGGCCGCTGGGCTGGCGGGGCTGGCCGCGGTGCTCCTGGGTGCGCGGGGCTGCCGCCGGCGGGGCTGGACTGCGGGGGGAAGGGGCCGGGCTCATGTCTGTCCGCTTCTTTCTGGCCTCTCTCCTTTCTATTGGAGCAAGAGGATTTTCTGAGTTTTTCTTGTTTTCTTCTCGGCAGTGGCTGTGAGCAGAGCCCAGGTGCAGCAGGAGCCGTCGGCAGCGACCAGCGAAGGCACCGGTATCAACATCACCTGCTCACACCCTAACATCCAGTCTTATGATTACATCTACTGGTACCGTCAGCTCCCGGGCAGGAGCCCCGCATTCATCGAGTTCATCCACCAAGGCTCCAAGGAGCTGCATGAGTTGGCTGGGCGGCTATCGATGTCCGCAGACCGCCGCTCCAGCGCCCTGTGGCTCGCCCGGCCCCGGTTCGGGGACGCGGCGGTGTATTACTGTGCCGTGAACCCACGGGGCGTGGAGTCGGGGCTGCGGCAGAGCAAGAACCGCTTCGGGCGGGGCGGGCGGCGGCGCAGTGCCGTCCGGGCCCGCAGGGGGCGCTGCCGCTCCTTCCGCCGGGCCGCCTCTCCTCTCCCGGCCCCGCCGAGCTGACAGTGCCAGCACGGAACGCGTCCCTCGCACTGCTCGGCATCCCGGAGTAAGAGATTCCAGCTGCGCACCTTCATGAACACGGCATGTCGAGATCACAGACACTTTCAAGTGGTCCCCACTGTGGCTCTGTTTTAAGACCATGAGCTTGTGTGACAGGATTCGGGGTCTTTGGAGGTGAGGTCCAGGACTGCTTTTTCACTAAACCCCCATACACAGCTCAGCTCCACACAGCCTCGGGGTCACTGGGTGGAATGGAGGAGAGAATAAGGAAAGGTAAATGCATGAACCAAGAACTTATGGGCTGAGATAGCATATAAGGCGAGCTCAATGACGAGCGTGCAAGTAAACCAAAACAATGAATTCATTCACTACATCTAATCAGTAGGCATGTATGCAGGCACATGTTCAGCCATTTCCAGGAAAGCAGGGCTCACCACGCAGAACAGTTTCTTGGGAAGACAATCACCATCTCTCCAAACATCCCTGCTGTCTTCTTCAGCTTTTGTTGCTGAGCATGACCTCAGATGGCATGGAAAGTCTTTGGTTGGTTTTGTAAGCTGTTCTGACTGTCATCTCCAAGATTCTTGTGCTCTATGAATCCTCACTGACAGGGCAGCATCAGAGACAGGAAAATCCTTTATTCTGTACAAGCACTGCAACAACTACAATCAGGATGAGGAGATCAGATAAGAACTCGGAGTAGATGCACTGCAACCCCAAGAGATGCCAGGTTCATACTGCAAGATAGATCGACTCAGAGAGATGTGCAACATTATTCTAAGCAGTTGAATGTGAGGTTAGTGAGAGGTAACGCCTCTGGAAAGAGGCTCTGAGATCCAGATCCTCACAGGGAAAATCTGTGTAGCTCCCCCAGCTGACCCAGCTGTTTAAGCCCATGTTCAAAGGCTTCAGAAGCACAGAGCAAAGGATCAAATCCTAAATGTTTTCCTTCCCCTAAACATCCCATGTCCAGTGCAATACCCAAATACATTTCTACAGCATCCCATGCAGATTCTGAAGTGTGATGGTTGTACTCCACATCAGGGTTGAGGTAAGGACAGGGCACGTGTCAGAAAGAGAGATGGGACAGAGGGAAATGGAAGAAGGGAAAGAGAAGGAGGGGGCACGTAGAGAAAAGCATCTCTGAGAGGTATGGAAGGTGGATGAGATGAACCATTCCTGTCTGGCTGGAATAAGAAAGCCATGGTCTGGATCCCACCTGGAGATGGAATTCAGGTCTGTCCTCATGCTGGGATGGACCCTAAGATCTGTGAGGGAGGACTTGGAATCCTGCAGGGAACATGGACATTTGAGACAGCAAATAATAATAAATACTTCGTAAAAGAGAGGGCAGAAATGGACTCATTCAGGAAGGAGTTTCAACAGGCCTGAATATGTATTTGTACACGTGTTCCATTTGAAACTGATTGTTTATTTGATCACTTTCCCTTTTCCTTTGTTTAACTGTGCTGAAAACTCAATGCCATGACTTTCTGATGGTGCTGCTGAGAGGCACTTCAAAGCCTGAACTCAGGATGGGATTTCTCCCCAAATCTTTGACTCAAGGCACTCAGTTTTCTCTGAGGATAGACAGCTTTCAGCACCTCAAGGAACCTGCAAACAAGAGCAGATTCAGCAGAGGCCACTGCAAGGTGTGCTGGCTGTGAGGGCTGCAGGCTCATGAAGGCTGTAAATCGACTTTGGCAACTCAAAGGGAATTACAAAAAAAAAAAATAATAATAATAATAATAATAAAAAGGGGGAAGAGGAGGGGGGAAGCGGGAAGGTGATAAAGAACTCAACAGCATAAATCTTTAAGGAAAAAGGGAGACGAGGAGAGGGACCAGAACTCTTCAGCCTCTAACTGATGGGCTAACAGGGAACTACAGGTGTAGCTTTGAAGTGGGTGAGCCTGAGCTTTTTGAGTGACAAGTGAAAAGATAACAACGAAGATCAGAAATGTCTGAGAGGATCCTGTGGCAGTGTGCAAAACTTTTAAGGAAGGCTTAGGAAGGGGGAAGGATCAAAGGTGTGAGAAATGGGGGAGTGGGGAGGAGCAAGGGGGGAGGAAGGACAAAAAGTTTACGTCAGTACACCTGCTGGGATCATCACTGCTCCAGAGAAGCCAGGCTCCACACAAGGCTATTAGCTGTGCTGAGGGCCGATGCTAACATTAATGGGGTGCATGAATGTGGGAGTGCTTGCAGAACTAATGGGTGAAGGTGTGTGCTTGCACTGGGGAACTGCAGTCCTGATTAGCCTGAGAGGAGGAACAGGGCTTGGCTCTGAGCTTCGGGCTTATAAGAGAACTGGTGTTGTTACCTGTGGGTGTTGCTATGGCAGTGAGTGCCCTGCCTGTGCAGCCAGCAGAGTCATTTCCGGCAGCTCTGTCGTCTTGGGGCTGGGAGGTGGTTTTCTGCCTCTTGCTCACTCACAAACAAGAGGCTCGGTCTCAGCATGCACCGCAGCTCTCTCGTCCTCACTGCCTTCCTGGGACAACTGCTGGGTAAGTGCTGGCTTTTAGTCAAGGCACCCATCTTCTCCCCACAAAGCGCTCACCAGCCTCACTGGGCTTTGTGGCAAACAGCTCCTGGGTAACAATAAAGCTTGGGCAAATACTGACTGGCTGTTGTGGCTTTGCACCACTTCTCTCAAGATACTGCTGCTGTTGGAAATGACAAGGGAAGATGGAGGAGAACTCAGAATCCTCTCCTGCTTTTCTTTTCCCTTCTCTCTCTCTCTCACTGCCTTTCTCTTCTGGCCCAACAGCTGCCACCTCCAGAGATCACAGACATCCCTGCAGTCCCACATTTCAGCCTTTCCAAGAGAAAGAAGCAGATCCTGTCACAGCAGTGACATTAAACATCTCATAAAAACAGCATTAAGGGAATGTCCCAGTCTGACTGCTTCCTGGTGCATTCTTGCCATAGCCTCTGGTGTTCTCCTGGTTGTCAGCACAGCCAGAGATCACACTTGTCACCATTCAGCTCAGCTTTGTGTATACCGAGGGACTTAGGAGCCCTCCAAGATGGCACGGATGGAGAAGTAGGATGCATCTTTTCCCTAAAGCTCCATGGGTCCCTCAACCTGCACAGCCATGACAGCTGTTCCATGTTCCTCTCAGCAGGGGCACAGCACAGGATCTGCTCGGGACCAGAAGCTGAGAGCTCTTCCAAAACCACCTTCATATGCCCAGACCTCAACAGCTTTCTGCTGGACAAAGGAGAGGGAGCCTTCTCTCCTGCTGTTTTGTATCCATTTCATGTCAGCAGCCTGGAACCTTCCCTGCAGAGCTGCTCACCTTTGCTTTCTTCTTCCAGGTGCCATGGGGCAGACCATTGTCAGCCAGCAAGAAGGACAGGTCACAGTGCAGGAGAGAAACACCTTCCAGACCACCTGCACATACCAGGCAACTAACTTTAATGGTTTGTTTTGGTACCAGCAGAAGAAAGGCCAAGCTCCCCAGCTGGTCACATATCAGGCAGCAGCAGGCTCCAAGCAGAACGGCCGTTTCACCACGTGGCTGAACACCACCGGGAAATACAGCCTGCTGCGGCTGGCAGAAGTCGAGCTGTCTGACAGCGCCTTGTACCTCTGTGCTGTGCAGGACACCCTGGTGCAGGGAGCTTCCTTGGCCGTGCAACAACCCCAGGGAGGGAGGAGGTGTGTGTGCTGGAGGCGGAGCTCTGGGGAAGGGGCCCTCAGCTCTCCTGGCAGCGCTGCTTCCCTGTGCACATAGAAATCTGCAGCCCAGCGTGCCTTTACAGACGCCCAGCACTCACAGCCCGCAGCAAGCCCGAGTGCCGCCAGCGCAGGGCGCAACCCCGGGGCGGAGCTGGCGGCGGCGGCGGAGCAGAGCCGGGGCTGGCGAGGGCAGCGCGGCGCGGGCGGCGCAACGGCGGGATGCGGCAGTGCCGGGCCGCGGGGCTGGCGGGGCTGGCCGCGGTGCTCCTGGGTGCGCGGGGCTGCCGCCGGCGGGGCCGCACTGCGGGGCTGCGGGGGGCCGGGGCCGCGCTGATGTCTGCCCGTGCGGCTTCTTTCTGACCTTTCTCCTTTCTATTGGAGTAAGAGGATTTTCTGTTTTTTTTCTTGTTTTCTTCTCGGCAGTGGCTGTAAGCAGAGCAGAGGTGCAGCAGGAACCGTTGGCAGCGACCACCGAGGACATCGTAGTCAGCATCACCTGCTCACACCCCAACATTCAGTCTTACAGTGATATATACTGGTACCGTCAGTTCCCGGGCCGGAGCCCCGCATTCATCGGGTTCATTTATGAAGGTTCCAAGGACGTGCCGGACCCGGCGGGGCAGCTGTCGGTGTCGGCAGACCGCCGCTCCAGCGCCCTGCGGCTCGCCCGGCCCCGGCTTAGGGACGCGGCGCTGTATTACTGCGCCGTGGACCCACGGAAGCGAAGCCGGGGCTGCGGCCGGGCACGAACCGCGGCGGGCGGCACAGCTCGGCCCGCAGGGGGCGCTGCGGTGCTGGAAGACTTCCACCCAGCCCAGCGTTCAATGATCTGCTCGCGATTGCTTTCCAAGAGCATGAGTTTTTTTAACAGGGTTTTGTCTTGCCCCAAACACAGCACCTTTGGTATAGAGATGACTTCCTGACATTACAGCAAGTATCCGCACTTAATGCTCATTCTAATGACCCCTCTTTTTAACTCATTTCTTGCCACAGTGCTAATTTATCCACACAGGATCCTCCAAGAGAAGAGCTGGTGGGCACGTGTTCTCACTGCCATTGAGAAGGCATTAAAAATACTCAGCTTTAGTGCTTAGCTGAGTCAGGGGGTTTCTGCAGCCCGTGTTGAATCAGGAGGCTATGTGCACATATACCTGACAGCTGAGCAGAGGAGAAGGGCAGTGGAAGCAATCCCTTATCCATTGGCAGCAGAGGTGCAGGTATCTGAGTCTGGCTGAGTTTTGGATGGCAGGGGTAGCTCACTGAGGACACTTGCTCTTTGCTGGGACTGGCTGTGAGCATCAGGAGAGGCAAAGTGTGGGAAGTACATAGCGGTCACTTTTGGGACTTCTTACCTTATCAGTGACTAAGTGACCTTCGCAACCAGCAAATTCAGCTATGGCCTGACCACACAAGGCAGTTGTTCTTGAAGACCTCTGTAGGTCCCCTGCAATCATTCCGTTCCATGGAAGAAGTTCCCAGTACTGAAAAGTCTGTGCCTGACCATAGCTAGCCCTCACCACAGGACAGATTGATTTGATTTTTCTCTTGAGACCTTTAACCACCAGTTCCTCTTCACTCTTGAGATCCTTACTGTGGAAGAGGTGTGCCCCTCTGGAGCAGCAGAGAGAGCTTTGCTCCACCCCCGCTGTTGAAGTCTAGAGGCTGCTTATGGCTGGCAGAAAGAGAAGCTGAGAACTTGCCAGCTTCAGCTCTCTCGTTCCAAGCACTGCGTGATACCCAGTGAAGGCAAGAGTGTGACATGGTCCTGCTTTTTCTGACAGCCTTGATGCGACTGACAGACTTCGGTGAGATGTGATATTCTGAGGGGGAAGACTGGGGCAGGAGAGCACCCTGTCATTTCTGGAGGGGGGGGAAGTACAAATGCTGTCTTCCTGGTAGAACTGGAAATATTTTCTGTTGATAAAGCAGGACCTGCAGATGGGTACAGCAAATAATCTGGCAGATGTCAGCAGCAATGACAGTATGGAGATGAATAGGTCTCTGGCCTTCTCTTTTGCAGATACCTAGCAGTTTAGATGCTCTATTCATAGGTATGTATGGTGAAAGAAGATTGCTGCTAGGGAACAGACCAGAACAGTAGATAGGAGCTTGTGTCCTCCTGGATGTACTGGAGAAAATGCTGTTAGTCTGTGTGGAGATGGGTGTAATCCTTGATAGAGCAGGAAAGAAGGCTGAGTCCGTGCAAGAACTTAGATGTGGCTCAAGGACAAAGCATGGACAGAATATGTAGGATGAAGCATGGGGTAAATTTCACAGTAAGAAATCATAAAGTGAGGTGGGACATAGCTCACCTCTTCTGCCAAAAGAAATAAAGGGTTAATACAGCTCAGGAATTGACAGAACAGATGGATTCAGAGCCTAGAGTGATAAAACAAGTAAGCTGACAGCCTTGGGTATGAGTAGCAAAAGAAAAGTGCATGTATACTTAGCTCAGGATTTTACAGCCTGTGAAAATGAAATGCAGAGCGGAGACAGTGAGCAGGTTGGCACAGTGATAGATGCATGAGAGAGAGAAAATGGATATATAGTCAAGCTGTGCTGAAATGTGTTTCTGGCTTTACAGGTCGTGCACAGAAGGACTTTGTGCTGCAGTATCCACAAGAAACAGCCATTCAGACAGGACACGAGACAAGTCTGCACTGCAATTTCTCCACCAGCAGCTCGGTTTTCTACACGTACTGGTACCAGCAGCACCTGGCCCAGGCCCCTCAGCTGCTGCTGTGGGTGAATGCATTCAGGCCTCGTATGAGTTCTGGGAGGTTCTCCTCTGTGCTTTCTATGGAAAACTCCCATGTTCTTCTCCACGTGCGGGATGTCACGTTTCAGCACAGAGCTGTCTACTTCTGTGCACTGAGCACACGCTGATGCCTGCAGCATGCAGCTGTGTACAGGAAGCTGTGGGTGCTCTGAGAAGCAGCTGCCTCTCACCACCACTCACTCACTCATGTAGCTCTGAGCCCAGCCTGCCCAGCAAGGATACATGGGGCTTATAGTGAGGCTGTCTCTGCCTACCCAACCTGTGCAACAGGCACAAGTGTCATTAAGAAATACTGTTTGTTTTTTACAGATGTGTCCAAGCTCATGGGAAATGAGTAAAGGGTTTAGGGAGAGAGACTAACCAACAGAAATGCTATTGAGGATTGCTACTTTGGGTCATGGGAGTATTAACAGGACATACCAACCTGCTTGTCCTTCTGTTGTGCTTTGCACTGTCTCTGCCAACTGTTCCTGTCAGGGAGCTCTTTATGGGATGTCGCAGTTCATCAACCAGAGGCCTCTGTCATAGGAAAGTCCTTTATTCTTCTTCTTCTACTACATCTACTATTAATCACCCAACACAGAAACACACACACACATAGATATATATATATATCTATATATATGATTGCTCATTTCTTGCATACAAGTCTCAACAGTTCCAAGGCCTCCCTAAGCAACCATATCTAATCTTACATCTTGTTTCTAGGTCCAGTGTTTCTTCTTGACCAAAGCGTACAGTTCCCTATTGTAAAAGATCACCACCCATGACTGCCACCTCAGCACAGCAGCAGCAACAAACACGCTAACTAAGCAGACCTTGCTTTTGCCGTTCAGGCCTGTGATGCCCATGGCCTCATGGGAGTCAGGCTAACTGTGGATCCCCATGGGGACAGACCCCCAGCGAGCTCCACACAGTCCCCTTCACCTCCCCCTTCTTTATTTACAAAAAACGTGCAATTCATTGCATCTTGTCTCATTTTTTGCACACATTGCAGAAGACAAGGAATACAAATTAAAATGCAAAGGAGGGCAATCAAGCCCACAACAGCGGTTTTTAACAAGCTTTGAAGGCACCCAGCTAAGCCTCCAAGCAATCCCCCGAATACATCCCATCCGTCTTGCACTTGAAATTTCTGGACTCCAATTTGCAGATCCTGCATACTTTTATGGATGGATTCAGAGTGATCGGAAAGATTCATACAACAGAGACCGTCAAAATCCTCACAGCCACGGCCTTGTGCAAGCAGTACGAAACCAAATGCTGCCCTATTCTGAAGTGTGGCATGTCTGATGGAATCTACATCTAATAGCAAACCACTCAGGGATAAGGAAGTAGCATTAATTTGTTTCACAAGCCAACACCTTAACTTATTGAGTGTTGTAAGGGCTTGGGCAGAGGCAACTCCTGGGGCCAAAGCAGAAGCAGCTATAATGGCTCCAGGGTTCCAAAACTCTACCGTATCTTTACAATCAGCCTGAAAAGCATTTGGGGCTCTTAGTGCACTTCAAAATCATCGTGGTATTAGGTGTTAACAAGGTTAATCTACCTAAAGAACAAGGTCCTCCTTTATATGTGAGGGGATTGAGGGCCATGCCCTATCACCGCAGATAAGAAAAACACCTGCGGGCAAGCTGAGTGGGCAGTTAGTAGATCGAGAAATATTAGGAGAAGTATAGTTACACCATGCTGTATGATTTCTATATGCAGCTAAGGTAGAATTAACACACTGACCAAGTTTGATTTTTCCCCCCTAATCAAAGTACAGGCAATAGTCCATTTTAATAGATCCCAATAATTCCAATTCCTGTGGTTCCAGGATTATGGGAGGAAGGTATGGCACCCAACCGCCCCGCTGATCCACAACAGCGCTGGTGTTGGAAGGCACTGCAGATCACACTTCCGCAGGGATGGGCCAAGAGTCTAACAGTTGGCCCACCAGACAGGTTGTAAACGGATTTCCAGGAGAAGCTGCCAAAAGACATAGGGTATCCTGTCCAGTCTTGTTTGCCAAGGTGACCCAGATGTTCTGTTTAGGTTGGGGTGGGAGCCAGACAGTATATGTGCAGGAAATCAGGTAACAGCAGCAGATGGAGAGGTGGGGTGGACCCATCTCGCTGATGTCCACTTTGGGCCAGATCCTGTGGAAACACAAGCATATCCTCTACCCCACTTTAGTAATGGGTAAGGTCCTTCCCATTGCAGGGAATCTGGATTTTTGACCATTACCAAAGCCTTTTGTTTCTGTATGTGTTGTAAGGTCTGTGTGAAATGCCTACAAACAGGTGGCCCTTCTTTGGTCCAACGGTTTAAAAAATTCAGAATGTAACATGCCTTTGCAAGCCCCCACTCCCTCTCTTCTGTTTAATAAGCATGTTTTTAAGAGCTGCATGTGCCCATTCTATTATGGCCTGACCTGTAGGTGAGTGAGGTATACCTGTCTTATGCTGGATGCCCCATTGTTGAAAGAACAACTAAGTGGTACGGGCAACGTAACCCGGACCGTTGTCCGTTTTAATGAATTGGGGGACTCCAAGAACTGAAAAGGCAGCGAGAAAGTGCCTGCACATATCCTGGGCCTTCTCTCCCGTATGTGGCGAGGCATATATACAGGTGGAAAATGTATCTATGGAAACATGGACATATTTAAGCTTACCGAATTTGGAAAAATGTGTAACATCAGATTGCCACAGCTCTAGAGACTTTAGGCCTCTGGGATTAACCCTGATAGATGCGGTGGGGGAAAAAAGTTGACAATCAGGACAGGATTGTATGATGTCTTTGGCCTGTTCCTTGGTAATTTGAAAGGAACAACACAGAGCTTGAGCACTTTGATGGTAAAAATCATGTGATAGGTGGGCTTGA